AAAATAAGGTAAATCTGTCCCAATTCCTGAAAAATCTAAATGGAAAATTGGACCCCCAAATAGGATTCATCCATATCTCTGTTCCACCATCTACTTATAAGCATATTTAGATATTTGGGTAAATAATTAAATTGCCATTGTGTGGAAATTTGGCATTAAAAATCCAGCTATCGAAAACATGCAAGTAAGGAAGCTACTAGTCCAGAGATGGAAAGAAGAAAGAGTCCTACCAGAGAGGAATGGCAAACTAAGCTGTTAGAGTACACTGAAATGGCAAAACTGACTGGAAAACTTAGAGACCAAGAAGACAAGAAATTCAAGAAAGAATGAGAAAAGTTTATAATTTATTTAGGAGACCATTGTAAGCAGATGAAAACATTAGCGGGATTTTAATCTCACTTGTAATGTAACAAATACTATGGACAATATGGATAGACATAAAATATAGATTATGAAATAATATGCAGTTGAAAATGCTGACAGCCATGGAGGGGATGGGAGGAAGTCCCGAGATTCAGAGTAATCTCTTTATATGGATGCATATTTGGTATGGTTATTAATTCATATTTGTAAAATCAAATAAAAGTGATTTGCTACGAAAACATGCAAGTAAGATGAGAATAGAATATTGTGGTGCACACCCCAATTTTCAAGTGGCAAGAGGCTCCAGAGATGCCAGCGCTTACCTAGAGTTCTCTTTCTTTGGAATGAATGTCAATGGAGACTGTGGTGCCCATAGGATATATGGTTTTATTTGCACATGTATATAACCTGAGCATAGGGCTCACCTGATGGAGGGACTCACAGCATTCACACGCCAGCAAATCTTCCATCCCCATTAGGTTCCCAGAGAGACCTCCCAAGCCACAGCTTTGGGTCCAGCAGAGAGCAAGACAGGTCTCCATGTCTCTAGCTTACAAAATTAGCCAAAACTCACACACGAACTCTGGCTATTCTTCTTGTACCTTACATGGTGATGTCGCTTCTAACTGTGGGGGAGGGTCACCTCCATTTGTCTCGAGGACAACTGGGCAACTACTTTGGACATGTAAATAGAGGTACTCAGTGGTTAAGGACATTATCTTTCAAAGAAACTGGTCTGACTAGTTCAACGGCCTCTTCTACTAGATTCTAAACCTTACTAGATATAGAATTGTAGGCCTGGAAGGAGCCCATGGATATAATCTAGACTGACCCCCACATTTATAGAAATAGACTATTACTGCTTACCAAAATAATAATTAGAAAATTAAAGAAATTTGCTTAATACAGCAAATAACCAACTCCCATAAAGGAAAATGGGACTATAATGGGTAGACTTCCGGGGTGGCGCCATCGGCAGTGGCGGACTCCCTCTGAACTGGAGGGACTAGCTCCGCGCGAAACGGGTCTTTTCCGCTACGGCGAAGCGGGGACCCTTTCAAAAATCACAGGCGGATGAAGCCTGTGACCATGGGACTCGGCGGGCACCCTTAGCGCCCCCCCAACCCGCAAAGGAACCCACTAACGGGCTCCGAAGCGAAGAGGGGGAAGTGGCACGGTGCTGTGAGTCAACTGCTATTTCCGTGGAGCGAAGCCGCATAGCCGTTGCCGGAGAGCGCTGCCTTTTTCCTGGGACAATTTGGCTTCTAAAATAAGCACCCGTGAGTACTTAAACTTTGAACAATTGGACTTTAAATAAGGACTTGCGAGCAGAAAGGAATTGGACTTAAAAATTTACTTCAATTTGGTACTGAAACGGGAAGGTCTAAACAGGAAGTCAGCCTTCCATTTCTTTGTAGACAGAATAAAGCAAAGACAACGTAAACTAGAGCTCAGAAAATCGCTTCTAAAGGATTGGCTTTCATCATTTAAAATTGTTGAACCCCCCTTCGGTAGCCAGAGAAGAAGGGGGATCTTTTTCGGACTGTTTAAACCTGCAGAAGTGAATTTAAAGTAAAGTAACTTTCCACCGTCCTGATCCTGGAGCGGGGTGTCAGGACTGACGTTTGAAGCTCATTGACCAGAGACAAACGTTTTTGACAGATAGCTAAAAGAAGAGAAACATAGTGATTCCACTGTTTCCTTTCGCTTTTTAAAGGAACAAATATTGACAAAATATTTCAAAAAGGAAAAACTTTGTTGCAAGAACAAATAGAAGTTTTCCCCCTAGAGGGAGACTGTGAAACTGTAACTAATTCCAGGGAGCTTGCAGCTGTCACAGATTACAATCGTGGGAATAGGCTTGTGACCTTGTAGGACAATGTATTCAGAAGCTCTGTTGTGTGCTCTCTGTAAAACAAATGCCCTACTGGAACAGTTAAATGAGAAGACGGATTTGATGACTAATGCGGTCAGAATTTTTGAACAGGCAGTGGGAAACTATATGGAGCCCACCCAGGAATTAAATCAGGAGTGTGTCCTGACAGAACAGATGAGAGAAGAGGATGCTGCTGAATCTTGGGCACCAGAGATGGAGGGAGCTGCGGCCCTGCAGGAACATGAGTTTTTGGATTTGACAAATGAACTTGGAAAAAGCCAGATTTGGAAAGATAAAGTTTGGACTGGTTTGGAAATGGGGGGTTGGATAGACCCCCCTATGCAGGGATGTTTGGACTTTCCGAGTCTGGCAATGGACCGTGAGATGTTTGGAGCTGTGGGGGCTCTCAACTTTGGAGGGATTCTGAAACATGTTTTTAAATACCACATGGAGTTTAGTCTGGACTATGGAAAAGGGGCTGATTTGTTGAAAAGGGTCAAAAACATTACCAAGCTGGAGTTCCCATGAGTGAAAGGAGAATATGAAGAAGAGCTGCAGAAGGGACATGGAAGAGACTTAAGGGCCTCGGATATAAGGTTACCAGGTTAATGCGCTAGATCGATGGGATAAAAAGGACTGACAAAACCCGGGACCAGGAGGAAGGGACGCTGGATGAAGACTGGATTGTTTTTATTTCTTTTTTTTATTACTAGGATTGTTTTATAAAATTGATGAATGTTAGAAAAATGTTGGAACGAAATTACTTGGCTCTGGCAAAAATGTTTAAAGAATTAGGTAAGAATATTATGGTTATGAGAAGTTGGTAAAAATAAGATTTAAGTTTTAAGGTTTTCTATAAGATAAGATGAAAATAGATTAAGGTAATGTAATGACAGAATATTATGAAATATGGAAAGGATTTGCTGCGATAATTATTAACTAGGATGCAAAAAAAGGGAGGAGGAGGAGGTCAAAGAAAGAAGGTAATGAAAGTTGAGGATTTGAGAATGATGGATTTATTTTTATCTGTTTGTGGTGTATTTTTGTTTTTTGAATTTGTATTGTTTGATGTGGTTTGTTTTCTCTTTGTATTTTCTTTTTTCTTTTTCTGCTTTGTTTTTTTCTGTAATTCTAAAAAAATTTCAATAAATATCATTTTTTTAAAAAAAAGGAAAATGGGACTATAATGAATCAAGAAACAGAAACATATAATGAGATTACAATATAGAAGTAAAAATTAGCAACTGAAATAAGAGATTAATAGTTAAAAGCCTTTATTAGCAGTTATAAGATTACAATACTTCAGAGGTTATATTATCAGTCAGTAATTAGGAGGATGACATTACTTAACTATAGACAAGAGATTTTTGACTTAAGCTTAATTAGAAGATTTTAACTTAAACTTAATAAATCGAGAAAGATTTTTATCAAGCTTAGCCAAAGCTATTTGCATCATAGACAGGAAGTAAAGAGGCAATTGTGTGGCACCTCATAAGATAAGGTGATAACTGAAAAAAACAAAAACAAGCCCAAATTCTCCTTAATTATTCAAACGCCACAGATGTTTGGGAGATCATGAGACCAGGTAACTAAAAATGCAAGCCTTCCTCAGCATACTACACACGTAAATTAAGCTCCATTAATAAGGTTCTGTTCGGGTTACCCATTTTGTGGACACAAGATTAGCCTTCATTCAGAGCAGGGCCTTTTCAAGCAGTTGCCCCAATGTCACAAAATGCTTGATGCTCACTTGATGAATCCTGGAGGCTCACTTTGACTCACTGTTTGCCTTTTTCCAGAAGCAGGGAAAACTATGGTGGCCACTTCTATAGTGCCAAAAAAGAAGACTAGAGGGCACAGATTTGCATAAAATTTGCACGTACCAGTTTTTTAATATAGGGCTAAATTGGGGGGGGGGATAGAAATCCAATACAGTTTTTATTTTTTTATTTTTTGGGGGGGGGATACAAATATACCCTTTCCCCCAACCTGAAGACATAGTTCAGATGTAAACAATACTAGCCAAATTTATGCAAGTGGAAAGAGACCGAAAGTTGCTAAAAAGAAGGAAGGAAGAGAAAGATCAGACCTATTGGTCTGTTCTGGCAAAAAAAGAAAAGAAAGAAGATAAAGAAATCCAATACACCTCACCACAGTGGTATAGACTGTGAGCAGGTGACCTGTGTGCCTACTCAGTCTGCTGTCTGGGATGCAGTTGCTGGTGAACAACATCAGGGTGCCTGCTGTCCCTTCTAGTGGTTCATCATCTTCAGACCAGACTTGGACAGGACAGCCCTTCAAGCAGAGGATCTCTCCATGCAGAGGACAGTCTCTTGATGGCTCTCCAAAGAACACTGTGCACTGCAAAGGAGAACACATATGGATGAGTTTGGGGACCCTTAGGAGAAGGGTTGTAGCTCAGCGGTGAAGCATCTCTTGGCATGCAGAAGGTTCTGGCGTCAACCCCAGGAATCTCCAGGTAGGGCTGGGATTGCTCCATCTGAAATCCTATCGGGAGCCGCTAGCAATCCGTGTAGACGATACTGAGCTAGATAGCCCAAACCATGGGTAAGGAGGAACCTCTGGCCAGCTGGCTGTTGGGCGTTTGGGAAGTGCTGCACAAAATGCAAAGCCCCTTACACATCAACACTTCCCAAAGGGGCAACAAAGCAGCTGATTGTCAGGTGTTTGGGGAGCAAGTGCAAGTTGACAGGTGTCGATCACCTGACATCATTATGGCATTATGGCATCAGAGGATTGTTCTGTGGGTGGTCCCACCCCACCTGTCAAAGTTGGCACAAGGAAGCAGAGGGAGATACAGGTATGGCCAACCAAAATTATTCCCTGCACCTAGACCAAATAATCAGACCAAATATTATAAGGCAACTTCCTGTGTTCCTATCGGACTCTGTTCTGCTCTGAATAACATCGCTGGGGGGCAACAGAGACCAAAATACCCCCAGAAGAGGAAACAATTTGGGTTTTACAGACCAGTTCCAAGCCAGACTATGGGGATTCTATCCATCACTAGTTGAGATGGGAGTGCAGACTCTATACACACAATCTCTGACTCATCAAACTGCAGGTTCCCCCATTAGGCACATACAACTTGGTAGGCTCGGTTCCCAAGGAAGCAGTGACTGTGTGAAGGCCAGGGGTGGGAACATCAAGCTCAATCAGCTCCTATGCAATCTTTGTATGTGCTTCCAGACTGTGTGGAAAGGGATGGCGTGGGAGGTGATTCTGCTAGTATTTTGGGAACTGCGAAGGGAAAACTGGGGAGCAGATGAAGGAAGTCAAGATCAAGCCTATAGTCTCTCTCTGTCTGTCTCATTTAATATTCCTATGTGTTTTCTTGCAGCTGAACTAATCTCAAACACTCCTATTGTTTTGCCCCAGAACCTGAGCAAGACTCTGACATTTCAAAGAAGTGGACTGACTTGCCACTGCTAGCACATTATCACATAGCAAATGTAGTGAAACACTAAGGCGCCAGGGCAATTGTTACCTGCTCCGCGAAGCATGACATCAGAGGCCTGCTGATGCTATTTGATCTTCCAGTTCATGTCTGGCTAATGCTCATGGCATTAAATATCACACAATTCACAGGGACGAGAGCAGAGCAAAACTCCATTGAGTAGACATTTCTGCAGAACTCAACTTCTCCCTGTTATTGACTCTCTGTCCAGAAGCTGGTGTGCGTTGCCTGTACCCAAGTCACTTCCAGATGACCTGATTATTGACCATTCATCCTATTTGGATTCCTTTGTGGGGAGGTTATACCACATGCAGGTCTCAATCTCTGAACACAATGCGTTCTCGGGAAATCATTTGTTAGGCAAGCGTTTGCATGACAAATGGACTGTTTCCCCTGATTCCTATGGGGAAATTTCTAATACATTCCCAGTCATGGAATTTTCACCAGAGAAATGTTGGCGGACTTGCTGTCTTCATCCCTCAACTCTAACGCCAAAACCCTTACAGATCTCCATCAGCGGTTCGAGTCTAATGCCCCAAGCTAGAAGAGCAACACCCCAGGCAAACAAGGAATTGGGATTTCTAAGGAAGTCTTTTAAAGCACACTCTTCCCCAGACAAACCACAAACCTCAGTTTTTCCACAGATGACAAAAAACAGACAGCAGGCCTGTTAGTATTTATCAGTGCTGCACTGAAAATTTCTCCTGCATTCTCTCCCCCTGCCCCCAATCCTGGCAAAAAAAACCAAAAAACCCTGCATTCTCCATCAATTAATGAGAAAAGAAATTGCATTGAAAAATTAACAATGGGAAGAGGAAATTCAAGTGAAATTCTCACGGATTGGTTACAGGGGTTTCTTCATGCTTAATAATAATGATGATGATGATTATGATAATGATAATAATTTATTATTTATACCCTGCCTATCTGGCTGGGTTTCTCCAGCCACTTTGGGCAGCTCTCAACAGGATATTAAAAAAATGATAAAAATAAAATATTAAAAACTTCCCTAAACAGGGCTGCCTTCAGATGTCTTCTCAAATTCAGATAGCTGTTTACTTCCTTGACATCCGACGGAAGGGCGTTCCACAGGGCGGGCACCACTACCAAGAAGGTCCTCTGCCTGGTTCCCTGTAACCTCACTTCTCGCAGTGAGGGAACCGCCAGAAGACCCTCAGAGTTGGACCTCAGTGTCTGTGCTTACTTTACCTTTAAAGGCTCTTTTTGAGCATCTTTGCCTTCATTCTACAAGTCATTTCATGGGTGGTCTGTACTCTGTGACCTTCCTGGGTGGCCACCCTTCAATTAAAAGCCCACAGGTGGACATCATGACACAACTCTTCCCACAGGGCCTTATTCATATCAGAAAGTACAGACCTGGCCAATCACACAGGGCTTAAGCTGCCCAGTCCTATTTCCTTCTGGCTGAAATAAACACATTCCCCAGGCAAGACCATACTGCATACTTTGGCAGAGAATGCTCCCACGTTTTCCCTTTTCTGTACAGTTGCCATCATGGTAAAAGTGGTGAAAGGTCACCACTTTTACACAACATCCTCAGGGCACATCACATTGCATTCCAATGTTTTGGAAATGATTCTTAGGGGTGGGATTTTTTTTTACATTTGTGGTTATTTTGTGTGTGCGATCAAAATCAACGATAACAGCAATCTGCCCAGTGTGGACAGGGAAAGCAAGCTGGATTTACCGTGCCTTTAAAGTTAAGCTCCTTTCCTTCGCATAACAGCCTGCTTTATTGCTCCATGTTCATTTTCAACAAACAGCTTCTGAATTACCCCAGTGTCAGTTTCCCTTCACACAGGAGAAGGCTTTAATGAAAGCTTTCCGACGCTCATTGGCCGGCTGGTCTCACCCCCTGGGGAAAGCCTGTCCAAAAGCTTCCGACATTGGTCAATTGCCGGCAGGCGGACCATCCACCCCAGCCATTCTCCAGATCACCACAGTAGTGATGTACGGAAGTGAGAGCTGGACCATAAAGAAGGCTGATTGCCGAAGAATTGATGCTTTTGAATTATGGTGCTGGAGGAGACTCTTGAGAGTCCCATGGACTGCAAGAAGATCAAACCTCTCCATTCTTAAGGAAATCAGCCCTGAGTGCTCACTGGAAGGACAGATCCTGAAGCTGAGACTCCAATACTTTGGCCACCTCATGAGAAGAGAAGACTCCCTGTAAAAGACCCTGATGTTGGGAAAGATGGAGGGCACAAGGAGAAGGGGATGACAGAGGACAAGATAGTTGGATAGTGTTCTCAAAGCTACCAGCATGACTTTGACCAAACTGCGGGAGGCAGTGGAAGACAGGAGTGCCTAGCGTGATCTGGTCCATGGGGTCACGAAGCATCGGACACAACTAAACCACTAAACAACAACATTCCTCAGGGTAGGGGGTGGTTTCATTCCTGAATCCTCCCCCCACGCGCGCTAGAAGAGTTCAGAAGTGTGCTAGCATAGCCGATCTGCGCTGGCGTGGCTCCAGCCTTGTACCAGAGGAAGGTATCGCGGGCAGAAGCCTTAGTCCCTGAAAGAAACCATCAGCATGGGAGGGCAGGAAGTGAGCAGGGCGGCGATATACAAGGGAGGCTCAGTGTTTAGGAGGAATCCTTTGCTACCCCGGTGCACATTATGTCAACATATATGGTGGCATATAAGTAAAGTCCAGTTGAAATTCAGGGAAGAGTCAGACACGACTAAACGACTAAACAACAACAACAACATGCTCATTGCCAGCCTGACAACAATGCAGGCCTCCAGGTCTTCAGCTGCTGCAAACCTTCCTCTTCCCTGTGGGAGAGAGAGATGGACTTGACATGCACCACAATTCACCATGCTCAAGCCTTCCTTCCTTTCACAAGGAAATCGTTTCTCAAAAAGGCAACTCTGTGTTGTTGGTGGTGGTGGTGGTGTGTGTGTGAAATAACGCTGTGATTTTCATAATGCAAAAATTGCCCTCTTTCCTAAAGATCCCCTGCACTACTGCTCTTGCTTCCCCATTGTGGATTCTGTGAAGAACATCCTTGGAGATCATTTGTAGTTATAGTGATAGGGCTTCAAAGACCATTGGGAAAAGGTGTTCATATTAATCTGAAAGAGAGGGAGGCTGGGGAGCAAGAGGGAAGCATTCGCTGTGCTCCCCTTTCATTTAAAGGAACGGTTTCCTACTTTGGCACCCAGTTCCTTATTTACATTATTCAGATGCCTTCTTGTGTCATCAAACGATTATTATTTTTCCTTACTGCCTTTGCTAACAGCTTGTTTCTGGCAATAAGGGACCTGAGGGGCTCTGAATAGAAGGTGCAGTTTGTATGCTTTGCTTCGGCAGGGCCTGAAACCAGGGGAACTTTTTATGAAGCTTTTGGATTTGTTTGTGCATATAAATGCTCTGCCTTTCTTTCCGCTAACAAATGAGTTTTCTAAACATTGCCTGTTGTTGCTAAGATGCAGGTGCGTCAGATGCAATTTTTGAAAAAAGACAAAGATGCTTGAACATCTGGTTATCTTCCATAGCTGCCTCCAGTGACCATGGAAATGAGATAAATAAAATTGGAAGGGGAGGGGCTGGCCACCATCATAGCTGTGTGTATTTCTTCTTCTTCTTCTTCCTGTTTTCCTCACTTAAATGTTTTAGATAATTTCCTTTTTAATGTTTGCGGGTCTGCAGAGAGAGAGAGAGAGAGAGAGAGGATATTTTGCCTGGTGAAAAACATGGCTTTGAAGTACTTACACAGCGTTCTGAGCTTTAGGTTGTGCTGTAAGAGAGGAGACATTGTGGCCCCTCTCACAATGAGCAAGGCCCAGCCTGTGAAGGCGAAATAACTGGACAGGACAACATTCTGGGATTTAAACATTGGCCGCAACTTTATTGGTTTCAGATGTAGGTTGGACTTGGCTTAGGCCAAATATGCCTCACAGCACCCCTGGTGTACGGCTATGGCATTACAGGGTCAGGCCCAAGATTAATGGGTCCTCCGCAAGATGCAGGTCTACACGGATGACCCTCTCAGGCAGCTGAAGGAAGCTCTATGGCCCATCTTCCGCATACCTTGGCTTTTGGACAGAGACTTCCGACTAAGGCATGATGGAAGACAGCAACAACCGGGAAGAGATAGACGTACCATTTTACAAGGACAGGAAGAAACATGATGGACAGAATAATTGCCACACACAGGAAAAATAAGGATATAGATTGAGTGCCTCACTTGTAGCTTCATAAATCATTTAATGTGTCAATACGAATGGAAGTTGTTAATGTTGCACTTGTTGTTTAAGGGATTGTTATCTTGACTGGAGTGTAATTGAAATTAATAAGATTTTGGAATGTAGAAATAAAGAAAATAATCAAACCATCAATTCTAGCATGCGGGGGACCACCTATATTATATAATTTGGTATCTGAATGATTGGTATTAGTAACTGTATTATTATTTAGCATTGTTATAATGTGGCTATTATCGGACTGCAATTGAAAACTAATAAAAATTGTTAGAGAGAGAGAGAGAGAGAGAGAGAGAGAGAGAGAGAGACTTCCGACTAGACCCCTGTAATGGGGTATCCTGTTATTGCACAGTTCTGAGGTGGGAATGATGTTAGACTAGAATAGTTCTTGGGGTTGGATGCAGTCAGGGTGGTGCTCCCAGGGGCAGAGGAAGGGGGGTGCAGTGGGTGCGGTCCACCCTGGGTGTCACCACTGAGGGGGTGACAAAATGCTGGGCAGCACTCACCGCAGGGCCTGCAGCACACCTGAGCCACATGTCTCTTCTGGGAGAGACGCAGTGGCTTGGGCGCGCGTAGGCTCCGCGCTGCCCAAATGGTCCGCCCACTGCCTCCCACCCACCCCCAGCTGTAGGGTAGCTGCGTGGGAGGAGGCAGGCAGACTCTGGAGGCCCCATCCTATATGGGGCTCCAAGCCTCGTCCACTCAGCCCAGTCAGAAGGCCGGAATGGTGGGAGAGTCCGCCAATCCACAGCGGCCAGCTAGGGTTTTCCCCAACGGCCGGCTGCTTGACCCCAGCTTTGCTCTCTAGGAATGGGAGCAATCACAATGAGTCACAACAGCCGCCCACCCCGTGACTGGGTAAGCAGCCATTATTCCACAATCGACCATCTCCAATACTTAGTAGATCCCTCTTCTTTTTCCTCATCTAGAATAAATTCAGGTGGTTCTGCCTATTAAGATTTAGGAAAGAAGAAATGGGGAGACAAATTGAGAAGGGAAACACATTTGCCCCTTTGCTCCACCTGACTCATTTTCCCCAGTGTGAGGGATCAGATGGGAAAGGAAACAGCCCCTGCCAATGTTTTTCTTCTTGAGAATCTTTCTCTGTCTTCTGCTGTTTTCTGTAATGATGGCAAAAAGGTCTGCCAATCTGGTGGTGGTATATATGTTCCCCCATTGTAATCCTTGTTGCCTCAAGGTGCAGCATGGAGAGAAAATGTATACCCCAAAACATTTGGAGAAGGGGCATAGCTCAGTGATAAGTCACCAACAGAAGATCTCAGGTTCAATCCCTCACATCTCCATGTAGCATTGGGAAAGACCCTGGTCTGAGATGCTAGGCAGCTGTTGCCAGCCAAAAGAAGAAGAAGAGTTTGGATTTGATATCCCACTTTATCACTACCCAAAGGAGTTTCAAAGCAGCTAACATTCTCCTTTCCCTTCCTCCCCCCCCAACAAACACTCTGTGAGGTGAGTGAGGCTGAGAGACTTCAGAGAAGTGTGACTAGCCCAAGGTCACCCAGCAGCTGCATGTGGAGAAGTGGAGACACAAACCTGGTTCACCAGATTACGAGTCTACCGCTCCTAAACACTACACCACAATGGCTCTCTCTCAGAAGAGATACTTTTGAGCTCTAAGGAATAATGCTCTAACTTGGTGTGAGAGTACTTCCTATGTCTGATAGCTCCCTGAACTGGATCCCACTCCTGTCTCCTTTAAGGTTGCCTCCAGACT